AACCTCGGCGCACAGCTTGCCATGGCATTCTTCCTGAAGAAGGCCTTTAAGCAGGACAAAGAACCAGGCTCTTCGCCAAGGGGAAGAACTGATGCGACGGTGCCCATGCAGTAGTAGTAGGACTGGCTTAAGCTGTTGATGCTACCGTTTTATCCTTACAAACTGAGTACTTACTACTTACATGAAATTGAAAAGGCATGATTGTACAGCGTTCTTGGCCGCAAATTATGTAAATGACAAGTTTTGAAATAATTTTTGTTCTCCATTTAGCACATGGGTGGCATTCAGTTATTTTTCCTCAGCTGTGCTCCATTGAAATGTTAGCAAACCAGAATATTTTCTACTTTGAACCTATGCAGACCTGTCTTTTTCACAGCTGATATCGACCACGCTTTATGCTGCTCGTTCTGCTGCTGATGTGCATACGTAGGAAATAAATAAGATGAAATAAACAGACCGTCAGTTCAGCCTTTTCTCATGAATAAACCACACACCATATACACTTAAATTCCTAGTCAATTATTTTTCCCAGTCTTGAAATATAATTATTGAAGAGATAGAATTCAACAACAAAGCTTAGGAACCTCTATAATCTGAAATACGTTATGGCAATGACTTCAAAATGCAAAACGTTGATGTATAACTAAGCATGGTATGCTTGCACAGCTACTAGCTGCAAAGTCAGCTTGATACTTAGCAACGAGGGCGATGCACGTCCACATTCTTTCTTGCATTGAAGCATATAAGAAAGAATATATAAGGTGAGATGAAGGTTTGACAGGTTGCTACCTTTCTAGTTTCAAGCATGAAGAATTGCAGCTATCAATAAGATTAAACGTGAATTGCATTTTCAGAAGGAAACCAATATGTAGAGCCTGTTTGGGACTCGCACAGATAGGAAGTGAAGAAAGCTTCTGACAACCAACGGATTGAAGCTTCAATAATACTCTCTCCGTAAACTAATATTATTGCCACCTTCGACTGTCCTCGTTACATATCCATTTACACCAAAGTACATGGATTATAACTCATTACAGAACCGGACACGATCGAGTACCTCAAATCGAAGGCAAATTTACACTAAACGAGCTGAAATCACAAGAGGGAAACATACAGATATGTAAAAGGACCAAACGAGTAATAAAGGAAGCAAATCAGCAAAGATTGGACGTATGCATGCGTCCAGTGATCCCTGGTGATCTTCTCGGTGGTGCTGTCCTTTGTGGCGCCAGTGGTGGTGTTGGTGTTGTCACCGCCCATGCCTAGCGTGTTCGCCACGGCGTTCGCCACCGTCTCGCCGGCCTGCTGGAGCACGTTGCCAGTCTTGTCCTTGCCGGCGACGGCGGACTCCTTGCTGTACTGTGCGGCGTCGGAGGACCTCTCCTGCGCGTACTGCGCCGTCTCCGATGCCTTCTGCTTGGTGGCCTCGGCCGTCTCGCCGGCCTTCTGCTTGGTTTCCTCCGTGGCCTGCCCCGCCTTGTCCTTGGTGGCGCCCATCATCTGCCCGGTCTTCTCCTGCACGGCCAAGCCAAACCAAGAGAGCATTTCAGATCACTGAGCACGAATTAATGCACGATGAAGTGGTACGTAGGCACTGCGGGAGACGACGGTTACCTCGGTGCGGGCTTTGGTCTCGCCGGCCGCGTAGCTCGCCTGGTTCTGGTTGGAGGCCATCTTCTCCTCTCTTCTCTTCTCTTCTCTCTCACCAACAAACACGAACTGAAATCACTCGATTGGAAGGGCCAAATCTCACTGCTAGTACGTATTGCTCAACTCTGGTTTGGATGAATCGATCGACTGCTTGTGTTGGAAAGGAGATTCGAGCAGGCGGCATTATATAGGCAGAAGCAACGGGACACGTCGCGCGGCGGTGCTCGTACCTGGCCGCCACGTAGCTACAAAGTAGCTTCGCGAAGCTGGATCGCTCACCCATATCACGAGCTAGCTGCTGATTCGATCCAACACATGCGGATGCCGGTGCCCAAGGCCAAGTAGGAGACCAACACAAGTGTAAAGGCAGGTTCAGGAAGGAGATTGGGTGGGGCAGTGCGACGGTGAAGTCCAATGCAGACCAGGCGATATGCGGTGGTCGGCGGGCCACGCGCCCTAGCTTCTGTTTCATCTTTTCAAAGCCTTAGCTTCTGTTTGAGTCAATGGTGGCGTCAAGCCCCACGAAGCGAAGCCAGTGGCCTGGGGGCGTGATGGCCGTTTCTTTCTTCATTGTAGATATATCAGCATTGTTCAACACTGTTGCTCTGTTGTTAGCATGGGGAGTGCGTCCAGCCTAGTGCCGCTACCACTTTGAGTGATGATCTTCTTCTGGCTTTGAAACCATGGAGTAGTTTTGACTATAGACAACCTTACACACTGAGATTGGCATGATAGTAATTGTCATTTATTTTGTCACTGCAACGAATTCATTAAGCATATGTCTTTTAGTGCAAGTCGGCTCGTATGATGTACTCCTTCCATCCCAAAATATAAGAACGTTTTCGGTACTAGCATAGTACGAAAAACGTTCTTATATTTTGGAACGGAGGTAGTAGTTCATAGCTTGCATAGCTTCCAACTTATACACTCTTCGTGGCGTATGTAACATATTTGGCAACTAGTTCAAAGAAAATTTCATCCATAATATTACACTCCTCTCACACAGGTTCAAGACCTCTGTGAAACCACTTCTCATGGCATGGATCAACAACTTACCCTAATTGTACAGGGAATGCTTTCTGTTAGTTTCTGTTTATAGTTGTTGTTGTACTTTGTTAAATAGGTAAGTTGTTCTACAACGGGCCAATCCAGCTTGAGGTAGACCGTCAATCGGTGGCGAATGCATTATCCCCAGGCACTACGAACAAAACAAGACTCTTTCCACTCATTGCGGACATCAACGCTGCCCTGTCTGGATTCAGTTCCTTTGTGGTGAGGTGGATTAGGGCCTCTTTGATTCAAAGGATTTTCATAGGATTTTTGAAGGATAAGAATCCTTCGAAATTTTTCCTACGTTGATTGTTTGATTCGCAGGATTGAATCCCATAGGATTTTTTCCTATGGATTCATTTGAACTACATTTCATAGGAATTGTAGCATCCACTCCAACCTCTTGAAAGAAATCCTTTATTTTTCCTGTGATACAATCAAACAAACTCAAATCCTATAGAAATCCAATGGACATGTCATTTCAATCCCACGTTTTTCCTATTCTTGTGTTTTTGCAATCCCGCGAATCAAAGAGGCCCTTAGTAGGGACGGGGACAAAGCTGCCCACTGTCTGGCTTCAAGAGTGAAGTACCATGGAGATTTTTGCTACCTTGGCTCCGCTCCAAGCGATGTGCAAGAAATTTTGTCCTACGATTGCAGCTAAGAGTTTTCAACCTTTGTAGGGTATCCTTAAAAAAAGGTAGGTTTTTCTTCTCTTTTGTCTTGTAAGGGCCCTTGGTTATTTGAGTTTTAATAAAGGGCTGTGGGGCTTTTGCCTCATAGTATTCAGTCAAAAAATGGATCTCAAGATATTGGACGTCATGTTGATTCCGGCTGCCTCTAAAGGCATGGGTATGCGAGGTGCCATGTACTACTTCACCGCCAATTTCCCCATGGCTTCTGTCTTTGGTCTCTAGGCAGTCTCGATGGCGGGTCGTGCAGCCTACTTGCCAATCTCTAGGCACTCTTGATGTTGTGTTCGACAGTCTACTTATCGATCTCTAGGCAGTCTCGATGCTCCTTGCATTCCGTGGCTCCTACACCCTACTATGTGATGATCTCTAGGCACTCCCAAGGCTCCTCGCCTTCTATGGCTGGAGTTTGGGCTTAACGCGTTTAGTTGTGTTTTGCTTTGTTTGAACCAAGCATACCATCTCTTTTTTTACGTTTGTGTTGTATCATTCTTGTACTCTTTTTTATTTCCAAGCTTTGTGTATTCACCAAAAATAATGCTCATCCATCAATGAGCTATCAATGAAAGTATTTGCAGGCTTTGTGTATGCTTATATCTAATGAAAAAGCTTGAACTTTTCTTTTGTCGAGCAATCTAGCAAGAAGTAAGGCTCAATAAACACAAAGCTTCGGGCAACAATTTTTTTTAACATACACACACTCACTCCTATGAGTAGGAATGCACGCACTCCTATGAGTATTTTTTGATATACTCCATCCGGTCCTTTTTAGTTTGCATATAAGATTTGACCGAAGTCAAGCCTTGTAAAGTTTGACCAACTTTGTAGAAAAAAATGCCAACATTCACAATCTGAAACCAATACCACTAGATGTGTCATGACTTAAAGTTTCATATTATATAACTTTAGCATGGCAGATGTTGATATTTTTTAAATAAATACGGTCAAACTTTGTGATGTTTGACTTCAGAGAACTCTAATATGTAGAGTAAAAAGGACTGGAGGGAGTACTAAACCGGTACAACATCTTTATTTTTAAAATGTACATACACTCACTCCTATAAACGCACGCACACACTTCTATGAAAACATCTGAGATACCGATAATGATATTTTTTTAAAGTATACACACTCATCACTATGATTGCAAGCACTTAGCCAGCACAACATCTTCGGATTTGACAAAAGATTCCTATTGGCGGAACGTCTAATCATAAAAGACCTGAAATAAATTCAGACGCAACGTCCAATCATAAAAGACCTGAAATAAATTCAGAAGAATACAAGCACCGAGAACTGGAGTGGGTTGGCTCCTCCAGAGGGAACCTCACCATATGAGCCAGTTGGTCCGGCAACAACGGATTTTGAAGTTTCAATGATTCCGTGATAGAAGAAATTCGATCACATACAACTTTATAGCCGCCTTCGAGTGAAGTCGTACGTCGATTATAACTCATTACAGGACCGGACACGAGTAGACCAAATCGGAGGCAAACTTGCACTAAATGAGCGGAAATCACGAAAAAGGGGAAACATACAGATATGTAGAAGGCCCGCGAACGACCAAACACGACTAAAGCAAAGCAAATTAAGCGCCAACGCATGCGTCTAGTGATTCCTGGTGGTGGTGGTGTCCTTGGTGGTGTTGTCACCGCCCATGCCCAGGGTGTTCGCCACCGCGTCCTTGGCGCCGACCACGGCGCTCACCACCGTCTCGCCGGCCTGCTGGAGCACGCTCCCGGTCTTGTCCTTGCCGGCGACGGCGGAATCCTTGGTGTACTGCGCGGCGTCGGAGGACCTCTCCTGCGCGTACTGCGCCGTCTCCGACGCCTTCTGCTTGGCCGCCTCCGTCTTCTCGCCGAGGTAGCTGCCGGTCTGGTCCTTGCTCTCGGCGGCGCGGTCCTTGGCGGCCTGCGCCGTCTGGGCCGTCTTGTCCTTGGCCTCGCCGGCCTTCTGCTTCGTGGTCTCCGTGGCCTGCCCCGCCTTGTCCTTGGTGGTGCCCACCATCTGCCCGGCCTTCTCCTACAGAAACAAGAGAGCATTTCAGATCATTGAGCACGAATGCACGATGAAGTGGTACGTAGGCACTGCGGGAGACGACGGTTACCTCGGTGCGGGCCTTTGTCTCGCCGGCCGCGTAGCTCGCTTGGTTCTGGTTGGAGGCCATCTTCTCTTGTCTCTCACAGTCTCACGAACAAACACGAACTGAAATCACTGTAAATCTCACTGCTATTGCTCAACTCGCTTGGATGAATCGACTGCTTGTGTTGGAAAGGAGATTGGAGCAGGCGGCATTTATAGGCAGATGCAACGGGACACGTAGCACGTCGGTGCTCGTACATGGCCGCCACGTAGCGAGAAAGTAGCTTCGCGAAGCTCGATCGCTCACCCATATCACGAGCTGCATTCTGATTCGATCCAACACATGCGGATGCCGGTGCCGAAAGCCAAGTAGGAGACCAACACAAGTGTAAAGGAGGTAATAGCACCTCAGATCCACAAACTTGCACCGAATGTGATGTTTTAGTTCAGAACTTGTAAAATGTGACTGAGGACTTCACAAACTTGACACCCTATGTGATGTTTTGGTCCACAGCCATTCACAGCGTGACATGTGGCAGTCCAGAGGGTGGACCGGTCAGCTGTGGCAATTTTGCACAAAGGCCCCTGGCGTTCACTCGATTCAACGGTAAGCACGGCGACAACAACAGTAAGCTACAGCTAACATGCACGCACCTTTGCTTCATTTGCATCCTACCCAGTGCAATTGATCACCATTAACTATCTCTAATTAGTGGGGTGGCCGGGTGGGGATCGATCTACCTAGGCGTCTTGCTGCCCCCCGATACGACGTGGGACTGTAGCGGCCCGTCCTGGGATCTGGGGCGTTCATCTCATCGTACATGTGTATTTGGCGGTAAGCACTGCGGGTTCAATCGAGTGAACGCCAGGGGTCTTTGTGCAAAATTGCCACAGCTGACCAGTCCACCCTCTGGCCTGCCACATGTCACGCTGTGAATGGCTGTGGACCAAAACATCACATAGGGTGTCAAGTTTGCGGAGTCAGCAGTCACATTTTGCAAGTTTTGGACTAAAACATCACATTCGATGCAAGTTTATGGATCTGAGATGCTATTACCTCAGTGTAAAGACAGGTTCAGGAAAGAGATTGGGTGGGGTAGCGTGACGGTGAGGTACAGAGACTGCGTCAATTAAGTTACATAGTACTATTATTGTATAGAGACTGTGCCAATTAATTTGGACCAGAGGGGCTATGATTTTGTAAGAGCAGGAACATAGTCTGCTTGATTTTCTAAGTTGTGCCTCGATGAGCTAGAAAGGGTTGTACGGCAGATGACCGTTTGACACACGAAAAGCTGGCGCATGTTAAAGGAGAAAATGGCAATAGATAGATGCGGCTTTGAAAGCCATTGAAGATGAATATTAAGATATCATAAAACTGCAAGAATCATGGCATGGTCGAGTTGAGTCTTGAGTGGGAAGAATGGGAGATAAGATTTGATGTCACAGATACACAATTGTGTGTTACTTTGATTGAAGATCTTCTTGTGGCTTTTAAACCATGAAGTAGTTTTGACCATAGACAACCTTACATATCGGGGTTGACATGATAGTAACTGCCATTTAGTTTGCCACCACGAGTAATTCATTAAGGTCATGTTTTTTAGTGTAACTCTGCTCGTGTGATGTAGTAGTTCACAGTTTGTGATTCTAACTTATACACTCTTCGTGACGCATGTAACATGTTCGACAACTGGTTCAGAGAATGATAGAAGTTCTTTTTTTAATCTCATATCCTCGCAAGGGCAGCAACCTTATGTTAGTCATTGTTTTAGAATGTGTGTTCTTTCTTGTTAGGAAAACATTTCTTCTCCTCTGATTATGCATACGTTGACACTGTACGTGGCGGAAGATAATAGTCTTTTGACGATGACGTCTATTGGGATTTTGCTTGTGGCTGGAAGCTATTCATATCGAAAGGGAACCTCAATCATATGAAAATATTTGTAGTTCTATGGTTTAATTGTTGAGATACCGCAAATCTCCGTATTCAACGACTTCTACTTCTATCGGAGGATGTGTTGACCCATAGCTTAGCCCAAGTTGTCGATGGTAACTAGGGCAAATTATTGAATAAAAAGCTATTTCGGTTTCATATCCCCTTTTTGTTCTAATTCGAGGCTTCGAGCAAGTGCCCTAGGATTTGACTGCTGACTTGAAAAGCCACCTACAAACAATTTACATTCATTCATTTTGGATAACACTTGCATCCTTTACTGACCCAAATTTGTGAAATGAAAGAGTGTGAGCATAAAAGAGGAGGTGAACAGTAGAGTGACTTGTATAAAGAATTAGAGACCTTGCTTATTTTCATGAAAAAGTAAATGGGTGTAAAAGAAAGAATAGCATTTCTATCAAAGAAGATGGTGAGATATCTATACATTTTTCAAAAGAGCTAAGAGAAAATATCACTTCATACTTATTTGGGAGAGTAGAGTAAAGCAATGTTCACTTACTTTGAATTCCATGCCAAAGGGAAGCTTAGTGAAAGATAGCCTGCGATATGACATCAAGAAAAAACCTATCATAGTACACGACACAAACGAGTGATGTCCCAGGTTCAAGACCAAGTGCAATACCAAAATGACAGGATATCAATAGGTGCTTATCTAGTGGTGGCAGGGGAAACCTAAATTGCGCCGCCACCTACCCCTCCCTCCTCCTCATTTCACCGCCACCAGAGGAGTGGCCGTCGAAGACCGCACTAACTCTTGAGATTTCGGCAGCAGAGCTCCTTGGTTGGCTTGGATCGCCCTTTGATGGCGCCGCAGTGGTGTTTCCCCCCCTCCGAGTTGCAAACATGGCTATGGGCCGGACTATGGTGGGTTCGCCATGGTGATTCCCCGGTTATGGCCGCCTTTGGTAGCTGGACACATGAGGCTTCGCGGTAGGCCTCTTGCCGGTGCGACTCTGGCCCCGGTTGCCCTTGGCATGCGTTCTCCAGCATCCATGGCTCGTCGTCATCCTCTGCTGGCATGGCTCTGTCACAATTGTTTCGGAGGTTGCGTCCTAGCTAGCTTCTTCGGCTCGCTAGCGTCCTGGTGGCTTTGGCCCCGACCGCCCAGATCTGCGTTAACTCTAGTTCCTGGCTCTTCGACATCAGCGGTTGTCGTTGCATCCTTCGCTATCCCTCCCCACCCCGCCACCTCCCTGAAGAAAATATGCCCTAGAGGCAATAATAAAGTTATTATTTATTTCCTCGTATCATGATAAATGTTTATTATTCATGCTAGAATTGTATTAACCGGAAACTTAGTACATGTGTGAATACATAGACAAACAAAGTGTCACTAGTATGCCTCTACTTGACTAGCTCATTAATCAAAGATGGTTAGGTTTCCTAAACATAAACATGAGTTGTCATTTGATTAACGGGATCACATCATTAGGAGAATGATGTGATTGACTTGACCCATTCCGTTAGCTTAGCACTTGATCGTTTATTTTACTGATATTGCTTTCTTCATGACTCATACATGTTCCTATGACTATGAGGTTATGCAACTCCCGATTACCGGAGGAACACTTTGTGTGCTACCAAACGTCACAACGTAACTGGGTGATTATAAAGGTGCTCTACAGGTGTCTCCGACGGTACTTGTTGAGTTGGTATAGATCAAGATTAGGATTTGTCACCCCGATTGTCGGAGAGGTATCTCTGGGCCCACTTGGTAATGCACATCACTATAAGCCTTGCAAGCATTGTAACTAATGAGTTAGTTGCGAGATGATGTATTACAGAATGAGTAAAGAGACTTGCCGGTAACGAGATTGAACTAGGTATTGAGATACCGATGATCGAATCTCAGGCAAGTAACATACCGATGACAAAGGGAACAACGTATGTTGTTATGCGGTTTGACCGATAAAGATCTCCATAGAATATGTAGGAGCCAATATGAGCATCCAGGTTCCGCTATTGGTTATTGACCGGAGACGTGTCTCGGTCATGTCTACATAGTTCTCGAACCCGTAGGGTCCGAACGCTTAAAGTTCGGTGACGATCGGTATTATGAGTTTTTGTGTTTTGATGTACCGAAGGTAGTTCGGAATCCCGGATATGATCACGGACATAATGAGGAGTCTTGAAATGGTCGAGACGTAAAGATCGATATATTGGACGACTATATTCTGACATCGGAAGTGTTCCGGATGGTTTCAGAGAAAACCGGAGTGCCGGAGGGTTACCGGAACCCCTCCCCCCCACGGGAGAAATAGTGGGTCTTATGGGCCTTAGTGAAGAGAGAGAGAGGGCTGGCCTAGGTCAGGCCGCGCGCCCCTCCCCCTCTGGTCTGAATTGGACTACGAGAGGGGGGCGGCGCCCCCCTTTCCTTCTCCCTCTTCCCCTTCCTTTCCCTCTCCTAGTAGGAGTAGGAAAGAGGGGAGTCCTACTCCTACTAGGAGGAGGACTCCTCCTCCTGGCGCGCCTAGAGGGGCCGGCCGGCCTCCCCTCCTTGCTCCTTTATATACAGGGGCAGGGGCACCTCTAGACACACAAGTTGATCTGTTGATCTCTCCCAACCGTGTGCGGTGCCCCCCTCCACCATAATCCACCTCGATCATATCGTAGCGGTGCTTAGGCGAAGCCCTGTGTCGGTAGTATCATCATCACCGTCATCACACCGTCGTGCTGACAGCACTCTCCCGTGAAGCTCTGCTGCATCGGAGTTCGTGGGACGTCATCGAGCTGAACGTGTGCTGAACTCGGAGGTGTCATGTGTTTGGTACTTGGGTCAGTCGGATCGTGAAGACGTACGACTACATCAACCGCGTTGTGCTAACGCTTCCGCTTTCGGTCTACGAGGGTACGTGGACACACTTGTTGGAAATATGCCCTAGAGGCAATAATAAAGGCATTATTATTATATTTCCTTGTTCATGATAATTGTCTTTATTCATGCTATAATTGTGTTATACGGAAATCGTAATACATGTGTGAATAATAGACACCAACATGTCCCTAGTAAGCCTCTAGTTGACTAGCTCGTTGATCAACAGATAGTCATGGTTTCCTGACTATGGACATTGGATGTCATTGATAACGAGATCACATCATTAGGAGAATGATGTGATGGACAAGACCCA